ACTACTGACTACTCGCTTTTCGCTACTCAGTTCTCACTACCCCCTACTCACTACTCACGACTCACTACTCACTATCCACTACTCACTACCCACTACTCACTACCCACTACTCAGTACCCACCACCCACTACTCGCTACTCACTACTCCCTACTCCCTCCTCCCTATTCACACTCCTTACCACCCACTACTCAATATTTACTACTCACTAAGCACTACTCACTACTCCCTACTCACTACTCATTACCCACTACCCACTATCCACTACTCACTACTAACTACTCATTGCCCACAAATCACTACTCACTACCCACTACTCGCTGCTCGCTACTCACTACTCCCTACACAATACTGACTAGACAGTACTCAGTTCTCACTACTCGCTACTCCCATACTCGCCACTCAATACTCACGACTCACTCCCCGCTACTCACCACCCACTACTCACTACTTCCTACTCCCTACCCACTAGTCACTACATAGTCTCTAGTCACTAGTCACAACTCACTAGTCACTAGTCACTACTCACTACCCACGACTCACCAATCGCTACTCACTACCCACTATTCGCCACCCACTTCTTACTTCTCACCGCTTACTCCCTACTCCCTACTCCCTACTTACTATTCACTACTCGCTACTCCCCACTCGTTACTCACTAATCACTACCCACTACTCACGACTGACTACTTTCTACTCCCTACTCACTACTCACTACGCCCTACTCGCTCCTCACTACTCACTACTCGCTACTCCTATTCCCTACTCACTAATCACTACCCACTGCCACTACCCACTACGCTCTGTTCAGCACTACTCACGACTCACTACGCACTACGTACTACTCATTACTCACTACTCACAACTCACTACTCACTACTCGCTACTCACCACTCACTACTCACTACTCACCACTCACTACTCACTACTCACTACTCACTAGTCACTACGCACTACGCACTGCCCACTACTCACTACTCACTAATCACTACTCGACACCCACTACTCACTACGCACTAACTCACTACCCACTACTCACTACTCCCTACTCAGTACTCACTACTCGCTACTCGCTACTCACTACTCACTACTCGCCACTCACTACTCATTTATCAGTACACACTACTCACCATTCACTACTCACTATTCACCCCTCCCTACTCCCTACCCCCTACTCGCTCACTACTCACCACGCCCTACTCCCAACTCCGTACTCCCTAAACAGAGGGGGGGGTCCGACCCTCCCCCCCCCCCCCTCGCTTTCCAACGAGGGGGGAGGGGTGCCTTCGAGGGGGGGGGGGGGGGGGGATTCCGGACCCCCACCCCTTGAAAGGGGGGGGGGGGTTCTGGACCCCCCCCCTCTTTAGTGTATTCAGGGAGATTCACTGGCGCACTTTCCCAAATAAACAGCAGCGCGTTGAACCATGAAACATACGTATATTTCATGACATCGCAGAGAGAGAGAGAGAGAGAGAGAGAGAGAGAGAGAGAGAGAGAGAGAGAGAGAGAGAGAGAGAGAAATATACATAACGGGTGTCGTGAACAATTCGTGTCACGGGAGTCTTGGTCTGTTGGATCGGCGGCCCGCTTGCCGTCGGCGAGCGAGCGTCGACGAAAAGGGGTTCGGCCAATGCACCTGCCGCTCCCCTTCCAGGAAATGCAGGCTGGAATGGTAGCAGCCCGCTGGCCGTCGACTGGCCCCTTGCAGTCCGACAGGAGGGCAGTCCCCTTTTTGAGCAAGCTTGTCACTGCACGCAGCCAAATCTTCCGAATACGCATGTTCCCCAATCGGTGCTTGCACTGAAGGGGCCCTCGCGGATGTTGAAGGGCTTGGCGAAAATGCCCCGCCGATTTTGGTCGCGCGCTGGGTTCCCGGGCTCCCAAGTTCCCGTATCCGGGTTCCCGGGTTCCCGATTCCGGGTTCTGGGCCGATTTAATTCGGGGGGCGTCGAAGTTCCCGGGTTCCCTGGTTCCTGGTCGATATTCTCATCGATCGGTCTCACCATCGATCTCATTGCCGACTTCTCGATCGGGTTCACCATCTCTCTATCTATCGCACTAGAGATCGCATGAGCGATCTCGCGATCGATCTCACGATCGATCTCACTGATTCGATTTCGCACTCCGTCTCACGATAGACCTTACAATCGTCCTCACTATCGGTTCCACGATCGATCTCAAGATCCATAATACCAATTGTCACATCATCCACTGCTAAAAGTTTTTTAAAGTAATGCTGTTTTCCTGTCCAGCCGTGAGGAACAGGAGCGGGCGCGCCCAGCGCGAATCTGGACCAAGTCAAGTCACGCGTTGGAACAGGAACATATTCAAGAACACCTTCCAACCAGGGCTGGTAGTAGTAGCTCTGAAAGAAGCTGTTCGGGGCAAAATCGAATACCAGAGCAGCTCCGCCTGCAGACCCGTCATCCTGCGCGCGACACGTCTGCTGACGCGCGCCAGGACGCGCGCCGGGGGGCCCAGGCGCGCGGCAGGACGCGCGCGCGCCCCAGATGCCCCCATAAAAGGCCCGCGAAGGAGGAATCCGAGCTGACCGGGCCTTCCCCAACACGCGGCCCCCGAGGCCGCCGGCAGGCTCCCAAGAGGCCCCCCGCGGGCCCCCGGAGACCTACTGCCCCAAGAGGCCTCGCGAGGTCAACCATTTTACCAGGGGGGCTCCGAGACGTCTGCCGGGAATTGCGTTGCGAAGCGGCCGCGGCGCCTGCGGCTCTAGGAGCGGCGGCGGGGCCGCGCTGGCAGCAGCGGGGAGGGGCAGCCCTGCGGGCCGCGCAAGCCCGCCCTGGGGCGCATGCCCGGGGAGGAACCTCACAGAGCAGCCCACCAGCGGAGGCGCGCTCGCAACCGCTTCGTTAACCCCCAGGGCCCGTGAGATGATTGGCGCCGATACAGCGGGACGTAAAAACGGCCTGCCCGACCGAACGACCGCGAGCACGCGAAGTTGAGACGGCCGGCAAACTTGCCCGCCAAGGTGGGGAAAAGGTAGCCTGAGGCAAGGGCTTCTTCGACCTCGCGACGCCACTCTGCGGCCTTGCGCGGGTGGAGACGCCGCTCTACGCCTTGTGGGGGGGCAGACGCAGCGCGGCCGAGGAGGTTTTATGTGCGCGCCCATGACCCTTTACTTTTGCGGGTCAAGGTACCGACCTAGGAGGGGCGCAAACTCCTGAGACACCAGTTTGGCGCGCCGCGCGCGCGGCGCGAAGTCAAACATACTTGTGCCATCGCCGCGCGCGAATAAAATGAGCTTGAATGCCCTCGCAATATATCGCTTTGCTGACTTGGGCGCAACGCCACCGCGCGAACGCGCCTCCGAGGGCCCCGAACGGTTGGGCCAGCAGCTCAGACACTTTCCACGCACGGTTGTCCGCATCCCAAAACAAGCACCACATCAGCCAGGACTGCTCCGGGCTAGGGCGCACCATAGACGGCGTGCCCTTTCAAATGACAACGCCGACGAAATCGCCCTTCCCGATGAGAATCCCCGGGGGCCCTGCGGGCGGGGTGCGGCGCAAGCCGTGCAATGGGGCCAATGCGGCGCGAGACATCTGGTCGCGCGCATCATTCCACGCGCGCTCTGTCACGAACGCACAAGCGTTGACGCCATTCTTGTGGAAGTTGCCACTTGCGATGCGGATTTTGCGTTTCCCCTCCCGCTGCCCCTCAGCGCCGAATCTTTCAACGAGCAGGACAAGACCTAAATCCACTTCGCGGTGGGCAAGCGGCGGCCCAACTTTCCCCAAAGCTACCCCCTGCAGGTGCTCCTGCCATGCGGCCTCTGCACGGGGGCCCAGTCTCGCCCTGGCTATCGCGGCGCCATCAATCGCCCGACATCGATGGGGCAGGTCATCCAGGCCTTCCCCCGCGTTGCGCGGCAGCGCCGGACCAGGCAGTTGTCGCCCAACGCCACCGGCCCCTACAAGGCCAGAAACAGGGAAACCCCGGGATCAGTCCTCCATGACATTGCCGTCTTGATGGCCTGCGGCCAGAAGCATGTTCTCTAGGAAAGGGGCGTGGATCTGCCCGTGGGTGGGTCGGAATTTCGCTGGGAGGGCATCGACCCGCTGTAGGCGACGGTCCGACAGCGCCCCGGGCCGCGGGCCGAGCTTTCCAAAAACTCAAAGTTTGTTCCCTCTGGGCGGCCACGCCTGCGGCGCCACTCAAAATCTCCCGGATTTTGTCCGAAATGTCGGGGCCGATGGGGGGGGGGGCGGGTCGCCCTGCGGGCGGGTCTCCAACGCAACGCGGGCGTGGTTCTTCCGGACCAATCGGGAGGGCCCCGCCTGACACATGGCGCCGCACACGCTCAGCGCCCTCCGGGCGAAGCGGGGCGAGGCGGACACGCGCGTCAGCGCAGGCAGGCTGGTCGGCAGGCGCCCGGCCCGCGGCCCGGTCCGCGGCGCCGCTAGGGCTCGTGCGAGCGCCGTTCCAAAACCTGCCTTACGGGCCACCCCTCGCGGGGATTGCAAGAGATCGGGAAGGAAAGGAAGGGCGGGGGGGGGGCGGGCAGGGAGGGGGGGGAGGAGGAGGGTGGGGAGGCAATCTGTCCACCTTGACACCGCGCCTGCGGCGCGCAGCGTTGCGCGCTGCTATCCGTTGGCCTGCGGCCGCCATCATTCGCGCGCGCGGCGCTAACCTCCGCTTCGTCGGGTACGAGGCAATGTGCATCGCCATTCAAACACTGCCCCGCGGGCGATCCCCTGCGGGGACGGCAGGAAGACGCGGGGCGCGAGGAGGGGGGGGTGGGCGGGGGGGCAGAGGGCAAAGGGAGAGGAGGAAGAGGCAGGGGATCAACTTGTTCACCTTGAAAGGCGCCCGCGGTGCAAAGCGTCGCACGCCGCTGCCCGATAGCCCACGGCCACCATCACTCGCGCGCGCAACGCGCGTCCCTGCTTCAACGGGTTCACGGCGACGTGCATCGCTGGCCCCTGCGGGCGTTCACTTCTAACACTTGCCACCTCCCTTCGGGCCGGCCAGCGGGCGCGGGCGCCCGCGCGCCGGGGCCGGGGGCGGCGGCGGCGCCGCCGCAGGCGCCGCCTGCCCGCGCGCAGGCTGGCTCGCGTGGTCCTGCGGGCCCCTGCCCGCGCCCCGGCCGCCGCGGCCTGCGCCGTCGCCGGCCTGCCTCACCCTGTCGCACTGCTCCTTGACGTCGCTGACCAAGGCGTAGTCGACCTCCTCGAAGCTGGCATCCGGATCCACCGAGGAATCCTTGTTCTCGATCTGCGTGCCGAGGTGGAGCCATTCCTGGCGGTCGCACTCGTGCGCGACCGCGACGCCGACCTCCTGCGCCATGTGGCGCAGGTCGAAGAAGCGCCTGAGCAACCGCTCGAAGGTGACGGCCTCGCTGTGGAGGTCCGCCTGGAGCGAGAGCTGGGACAGCGCCCTGGCCCGCCAGCAACTGGTAAAGTGGGCGAACGACTGAAACAGCTGGCCCTTCTGCGGCGGGCGCAGAGTGGCGTCCGACGTCCTCTTCAGCGGCTCGAAGTCTCACTGAAGCTCGCAGGTGACCCGCAGGAACCGCCCGTGGCTGGCCTTGCGGCGGCCCCGCTGGAGCAGCCGCTGAAGGGGAGCCGACTGCGGCAGGTGCTCAGCCTGCAAGCCGTTGAGCCCGTAGCGCTTCAACCCCTTGCACACGTTCACCGAAGCGGAGCCCTTGTCGTCCGAGTCGGATGGCACCGAGCGGCCCCCGCGTTGCCTGGCGGCGCCGGCCCTCGTCCTGCGGGCGATGGCCCGGAGTGCGGCGACCGACTCCGCCTGAAGTCGGCGCCTGCTGCGGCAGCGCTCGGGGCTCTGCCGTCGCTGCCGGCGGTCTGCTGTACCTTTTCCGCGACGGCCGAAGCCAGCAGAAAGGCACGGTGATCTAGCTCGAGAGTGAGCGGATCACGGCACGCCGTCTGGAGGATTTCCTGGTTCACAATTGTGAATTGCCACGCCCAGTGGACTTCAGCATCCTCAAGGAGACTGGCGACCCTCCAAAACCCCTGCTCTGGGACGCCCTGCGGGCTAAAGGCACGAAGCAAGTTTTCTTGCCCGACGCCGTGCGGCGAGGCTCTTCCGGGAGCACGCGGTCTACCGGTGAGGGAAAGCGCCCCCTCGCGGGCGCAGCAGGGCCAGCGGCTGCAGGGGCTGCCGGGCTCGCGGCGGCGCCGCGAGCGGGAGCGCAGGGAGGAAGGGCGGGCCGATTCCCGGCGAGCATCGCTTGGGGGCGGCATCGCGCGCCGGGCAGTAAGAAGAGGCCGAACTACCCGACCGAATCCGAAATCGAGAAATGGAACCCCGACTCCCTGCTGGGCCAAGCGAGCGCGCGCGCGGCAACCATGGGACCGGAGGCCTCGGGCCGACACCCCAACCAAATCCCCTCCAAGCACATCGAATTTCGAATTCGAGCCACCCCGACCTCCTTATCGACCAAGGGGGCAACCTCCAGTACGGAGACAACGTAATTAATCCGAACCGCGACCCTTCCCAACAAATTATCCGAGACAGTAAACGCGTTTACCCATGCTCTCCACCATCCGCGCCGTCCGCTCGGATGGTGTGGATGGTAGCGTTTTTTGTCTTAGGTTTCTTGATGTTTCTGAAGGTTTCCTTGGGTTTCTTCGGGTTAGTGCAGTTATCTACTTGCGCGCACCTGTCCGCGCGATGGGCGCAGGGGCGAGCAGGCAAAGCGTGGCGATGACGATTGCGATGTGAAAATGGCGATGTGATGCGCCGTGGTGGTGATGATGATGACGATGGTGATGGCGATATTGACAGCGAGGAATAGGAGAAGGATGAGGGGGGGAGGGGCACGGGGACGGGCCAGGAGAGGGTGGACGGGCCACTAGGAGAAGACGGAAGAGAAGGAGAAGAATAGAGCAAATGGAACGGCGGAGGGGGGGGGCCTCGAGGCGGCAGATGATCAGGAGGGGGGGGGAGGAGGAGGAACAGGATGTGAAGGGGATGGGGGGGAGGAGGAATTGGAGGAGGAGGAGGAGGGAAGAGGAGGAGGAGGAGGGGCGGGAGGAGGAGGAGGAGGAGGAGGTGGAGGAGGAGGACAAGGAATGGACAAGCATGACGGGAGGAGAGAATGGACAGAACCGCGAAGAGTCAGAGATCAGCGGCGGAGCCTGGGGGAGGACGAGTGAGAGGAGGAAGAAGAGGAGGTCGAGGAGGAGGAGGAAGAGGAGGAGGAGAGGACGAGGAGGAGAAGGATCGGGGGAGAAAGGGGATAAGGAGGAAGAGGGAAAGGGGGGGAGGAGGAGGAGGAGGAGGAGGAGGAGGAGGAGGAGGAGGAGGAGGAGGGGCAGGAGGAGGGGCAGGAGGGGAGAGAGAGAGAGAGGAAGTAGCGGATGAGGGGGCAGTGGAGGAGGAGGAAGAAAAGGAGAAGAAGACAGAGGAGGAGGGAGGAGGGAAACGGAATAAGCCCACGGCGTCGAAGAGGACGCAGGAGGAGGAGGAGGAGGGCAAGGAGGAGGAGGAGAAGGAGGAGGAGGGAGAGCGAGGGGAGGCTTGGACACTTTTGGACGTGGCTGGAGTATTCGTTGAGAGTCTGGGTGGTTTGGGGTTCGAATTCAACCTGATTTGTTTGGCGCTATGGGCGTTCATGGACAAGTTTGGCGGGATTGCCCCATGTTGGGCATGCGAGGCCTATTATCACATGTGTTTTGTTGTTGTTGTTGTGTTTTTTTTTGTCGGGGCTCAGTTGGCTCGGGGGTCCCGTTGAGGCCCCACGCGAATTTCCGCCATCCCGCTCGCGGGCCACCGTGGCTTAGGGTCCAATGTATCTCCCCTTGTCGGTGACGTCGTCGCCGCGTGCGTTGTCGTCGTTCGACCCCCCGTTCCCCCTCTCCTCTCCCTTTCCTCCTTCCTCCCCCCGCCCCCCCCCCTTCCCTTCCCTTTTCTTGTTCTCCAGACTGTGCAAACGCGAAGCGTTTGGATTTAACAAACCGAGAGAACATTGTTTTTCTCATTTTCCACTGCTGCATGCCATGGGCGGCGAGCGCACAGCTGTTATACTCGAGCAGCGGCTCGCGGCAAGGAGGTGAAACAAACAAGCAAAACATGTTTAAAGTGACAACATGAATTCGTACATCCACTTGGTCAGCCAAGTCTCTGTAAACTTTGGGCGAAAGAGCCCGAATGCCCGAACCTTCGAGCTGTAATTCTCACTCTCGTCGGCGAAGTTCGCCGTGCATGCGGGGTTCCCGCTCCACTCGGCCTGCTGCCGAAGATGCTTCGCAAACACGTGCCATTTCATGGCCACGGGCTGCCCCGCGCGGATCCACGCGCGAACGCAACCATCGGTTAAAGCGCCGAGCTTGCCCAGCGCAGCAGGAGACATGTGGCGCGGCTCGCGCCTGCAAAGGTCGACATAATCAGCCATGCACCGACCGCGCTCCAACAGCGCCGCCCCCAGGCCAGCCTGCGAGCGATTGATGATATCGGCACCTCCTTGGTGCTGCAGCGCATGTACAAAAAATGGTAGCAAATACCTCGTCTTGGCAGCTTTCAGGGTAAGCTTCGGGTTCTGAGCCGTTGCGTCAACCATCGTTGACATAAGATTTGTCACGCGAACGTCACTGGATATCTGATTCTCAGAATAATAACGGCTCAGTGCGTGCCGCAATTCGAGGTCAGCACTATCGGGTCCAACATCGCTCCACTCGCCGAAAAAAAACCAGCGCGCAGCAGCTCTATCAACGCCCTTGCGATGAAATGCTGCATGATTCCAAGCTCCACGACGTGCATGGAATCGCGGAGGAAGTGGTGAGACGTGAGGCCCTTGATGCCGACGCCGCCTGGCGTATCCAGGAGGCGGTTGAGAAAAAGCACAGAGTTAACAGGGCGGCGGAAGAAATGACACCTGCGTTTCGCAGGAGGGAAATCCCAAATCTGCTCACCATGTGCTATGTCGGGGTACCCTATGAAAGCTGGCTCCAACCGATCGCCTCGTTGCAGGGCTGGCAGACATGGGAGCCTCCGCTTCAGGATAAGGCCACCCTTGGACCGCTTCGCTGACACATTGGCCAGCAGGCTCGTCACTTGAGCAGCGTCGACTGGCACCTCGAACAAGCAAGTCGCAGCAAGATTGCAGTACCAGTCATGAGTTCGCGGCGCAGCTGGCGCATCTAGATCGCCCAGGCTGCCCCTACAGATAAAGCATTGGAGGCATCCGTGCCGCCCTCGGTGATGCGGCATGCCGAGCGTCTCAGGGTACTCGTCGAGGTCTGCGGAGACCTCGACGCAGACAGCCCTGATCAGATCGCCAGAGCCCGCCCTGTCGAACAATGGAGTGTTCGCGAGGAGCGCCCTTCGCGATCCAGCTTCCCAGGGTCTGCCATGCACGTCTGCAGAAGGAAACACGCCGCCCGAACACACATTGAAAACCCATGATATCATTTCAAGCAGCCTCTGAATCGTGTGGGCCCCTCGGCAACCGCACTTGCACACGATGCTGCCAGGGTGCGACCCCAGCGGGATCCGCCGTCTCATGCCGATGACTGAAGAGAAAATCCGCACGCCGACGGCTTCGACCTTGGAGCGGAAAAAACTGTTGCTTTGCCAAACGGGCAGTACTGTGTGACTAGCTTCCTCGGTCTCCCTCTCCCTCCCTCGCTCTCTCTCTCTCTCTCTCTCCCTCTATCTCTCTCTATCTATCTATCTATCTCAATCTCTCTCCCTCCTCCTCTCTCGCTACCTCTCTCTCTCTGTGTCTCTCCCTCTCCTCTCTCTGGGGGCCCCTTCCTTCCTTCGCCATCGTCCACCCTCTGTTCTCTCCCCTTCTCGATCTCTCCCCCGTCCCATCCCCTCATTCCCTCCCTCCCTCTCTCTCTCTCTCTCTCTCTCTCTCTCTCTCTCGCTCTCTCTCTCTCTCTCTCTCTCTCTCTCTCTCTCTTCCCTCTCCCTCTCCCTCCCTCCCTCTCTCTCCCTCCCTCCCTCCCTCCCTCCCTCCCTCCCCCCCTCCCTCCCGCGCGACCGCCCTGTCTCGAGTTGCCTTTCTCTCCGTCTCTCTCGCTCTCTCTCCCTCTCTCTCTCTCTCTATCCCCCCCTCTCTCTTCTCTCTCTCTCTCTCTCTCTCTCTCTCTCTCTCTCTCGTCTCTCTCTCTTTCTCTCTCTTCCTCTCCCCCCCCCCCCCCCCCCCCCCACCCCCCCCCCCCCCCCCACCCCCCCCTCCTCCCCCCCCCCACCCCCCACCCACCCCGCCGCACCCCCCACCACCACCCCGCGCCCTCCGCCCCCCCACCGCCGCCGCCACCCCGCCCCACCCTTCCTCCCCCCCTCGTTCGCCCCCCCCCCCCGCTGCCCGCTTACCCCCCCGCCCCGCGCCCCCCCCCGAACCCCTCGCCCGCGCGCCCCCAATTCCCCCTCCCCCCTCCCCCCCCCCCCCCCCCCCCCCTGCCCTGCGCCCTCGGCCCCCCCCCCCCCCCCCCCCCCCCCCCCGCGCCGCAGCCGCCCCCCCTCGCTCTCTCTGACGGCGCAGCGCTCGCCCCTTTCATCGTTATCCTTGCGACCAGCCCCAGCATCCCCATTCTCACCCTCATCACCCCTCGCCTCCGCCCTCCTCGCCCTCTCTTCCTTTGGGTTCGGCGGCAGAGGCCGTGAGGCGCGCATGTTTAATGCGGACGCATGTCCGTCTATCCTCGCGTAGTCGAGGAACAGTCTGAGAGGTATAACGTTTGCACCGCCATACTGTTGCACAATTTTATTGTCCCAGAAACTCTTGCACAGCAAGCGCCTGTTTGACCTGTGAGCGAGCATGTCATATCCCTCCTTTTGGAACAGCTG